ATGGCTCTCTGAGACATCTCTTGATGTCGGCGGGCAGTACAGTAAAAATAGCAACAGTGAAATTAAACTTTCCATAGGGCTTCTTATCAAAGATTTTCTTTTTTTCTTTTAATAAATCCTCTTATCACTCCTGTAAAATTTGCCTAAAACGCCTATCCAAGGTGTACCCAAAGTAAACTGACAGCTCTTATTGAACCATTGGGAGTACATGTATGGTTTTAGTCTCTATTGAAAGGTAACACTCTGAAGTTTCTAAACAATCACCAAATAATCACTGTAAGTGCTACTAGCATTGAGCTAATGAAGCTACAACACACTGAAACAGAAGGTTTTTATTGACCATTTTACCATTTTAGGAATTAAGAGTGAAAAGGTGTTGGTTCGATGTGAACACTGTAGCTGCTTTAATGTATCTGTCAGGTTTACCATGTGAGTCAAACTTCCGTCCAGGTCGGAGTCTCCTGTAATCAATATCCTCCTGCCTCTTAGTAACGCAACCCACGTCCTTCCTATAGCTTCACTTGATGGGACCCAGCGAGCTATCCTCCCCCCACACGTACACAACAAAGTTGCTAGAACCCAGCACTGGCATCCATGGGCATCAGAGCCTCTCCCTCCCATTGACAAGCTGTCTGAATTAGGAGAAGCTCCTGCAGGCTCCGACAAATATAAATGACAGCGCGGGAGTAGCAGCACCGATTGGCTTTGACAAACAAACGAGGGTCTCGGACTGGGAATATGATTTATAGGTGGCTGATCATTAAGTGTGTGTGTTTCATGGCTCTGAACAGGAGTTTTTCTTTCACTGTTGGCGTTGTTTAGGATTTCATTTTAGCGTTGGCTTTTTACCAATCAATTATTTTAACATGCAGTGTGACATGGGATATATACTTTCACTTTGGTCCTCATCCACGTCTCCAATAACTCATAAATATGAGACAAAAGAGAATCTCTCATCAGTTTAAAGCAAGAGTTCCACCTGGCATAAGGGGTGGCATTAGATTAGAGGTTGGTTTTGGGATATTGTGGGTGTGTTGGGTGTGTCTACCTGTTCCTCAAAAACAAAATCAGCATGCTTCTAACACGCACACATGCAGGCTGCTCAGCAGACACAATGAACGTCTAATTATAGAGCAGAACATGTGGAAACCCTCCAGGCTCTAAAAAAGCACATAATCAAGATGCTTGGTGAAATAGCAGCTTTGTCTCGTGTCACGTTGTCAGCCTCGGGCAAACGCACCGCTCGCTGCTCCGCTCTCTCCTCGGTGGGAAGTGATAATGACCGATCAATCAGAAGCAGACCAGTGACACTCCATCGGAACTGGATCCCATTTTTTACAGTAGTAGTAGGTATTGTAGCAGCACACAATGCCATGAGTGTCAAGCTCGTCGTTGGTATCCTATGAAACTAGATGACCTAAGGAATACCAACCATGTCATGCTAGCTTGTCGGGAAGGGGATGCTTTCAATGCTTCAAAGATTGGTGAGGGGAAAAACTGGCATGGCCATATTCACAGGGGTCCCTTGACCTCTCACCTCAAAATATGAGAATAAAAATGGGTTCTGTGGTTCCCATGAGTCTCTCCTTTACAGACACGCCCACTTTATGATAATCACATGCAGCCTGGGGCAACTTGGGTCCCTAAACATTCTTGGAATTGCTTAAATTGAGTTTGACTGGGAAACTGAGCCTCTTGTGGATCCAATGAGCTTAGTTGTATTCATGTGGGATGATGTCAGTCCTCATAGAAAGCCTTTAAACATAGTGAGACCATTTTGTGAAACTTGACATCACTGGGTAAATTGACCTGTCATGACCTCTAGGATAATCACACCCACAAACTAGAGACCTAGAGCATTCAGAGGATGTTTGGCTTTCCAAGCTATATCAACAGTAAAGGGGTTCTGTGCTATTTCTAGAACAGTAGTGCTCACCATCCAATTGTCCAAAGAAATGCTATTCTTGCAGAAATCTTCAAATGTCAAACGTTTCAGACACAAAATCACAGTATGGATTTTTCTATGGAGATTCTAAAGGTCTTGGTGTCTTAATAATGTGGTGTTTTGGAGGGACTTTATAAATTGTTAAATGTATCCCCAAATCTGTGTCACCAATGGTATCAACCCAACAAATTGCTGCAACAGCACTACTTTCAACATTCAAATCGGTGGCTAACCAAAACACAATGTTTATTACAGACTTGACAGTGCTGCATCTCAAATTAATCTTTTTCTCAGCTTTCAGATGATATATTACTTCTATCTGGCAAATACGGTTGACAAGCTCTCTCCCCCTAAAGATCCCCAGTCCTGACCTAAAAAAATACAAAAATGGGTCTATGGTAGGAAGGGGGGGGGGGGGGGGGGGGGGGGGTGTTTTTCCTTGGGGGGGTTGTTTTGTTTTATCATAATAAGCAGAAG